GCATTCACAGGGACACAAGAGCAGTGGTGGTCTGCCTCTTCTGTCTTCTGTCTGCTGCATTTTATGTAACCACCTTCTACAGTGTAGCTTCTACAAATGGGCTTAGCTGAGGGTATGGCAGCTGCTGGCATACTGTGTACAGAATTAATGCAATATTTGAAACCTGCATTGCTGATACTGCTGACTGTCAGAGTCTGACACCAGGCACACATGACACTGGCAGTGCTGGGGCTGCAGCATCAGTGAAACAGTGGGATCAGTCCACATAGGTTTGTGTGGGGGCGGGGCTTGGTGGTGCAGGGTGGGATGGGCTGCGGCTGTGGTGGTAAAGGGATGGCCTGGGAGACTTACTTGAGTGTTTCTGCCAGGAAGAAACTCTGCTGCACGTCATCATAGGTAGGGTTGGAGGAGTAGACGTCTTTAACCCCGGAGAACCCCCCACTCACCCGGCAGTACTTATCAATAGCCTGACGGAGGGAAAAAAAGACACTGAGTTAGGTAGGGCTCCACCTGGGGGAGAATGCTTGCAATTGTTGCTGCAACGGCCTACTGTTGTACCAATCTCAGAGACACGCACTAAAACAACGCTACATCTTCAAAACATACGTGACACCTGAGGAAGTGGTAAGGCTCTGTAAGTCTGGTAACCTGTGAGTGAGTTTGTCTTGCCAAGATGTATGAGCAGTGTGGTAGCAGTGTGCTGGAAACAATAACATCCTTGACACACGTTCTCTAAAAAAAGTCAATACATGACGGTGCAGGCTCTTGAGCATTGAACTGTTAATTAGCCCAAAGGCTGGTTTTGATCATTTTGTCTGATTAACAGGTGTGCAGAGATGCAGAGATTGGGTTCAACCATTAGCACCTGATTACCTCCCAATGCTTGAGAACTGCACATGAACACCTGAAAAGTACGTGATAAGACCCATTTCACCTTTATTCATAATTATTCAAATGATTTAAAATTCCACGTCTCTATGTTATATGTAAAATCATGAAAACAATGTACACAAATGTAATGCCTTCACGAGCCATGCATTCACGAGCTGGTGAAGAGATATCATTCCTTATTTAACCCTCCCATTGTCTTAAGAAATACTAACACCTATTACCTTTGGGTCACTATGATCCAGGGTCCAATTTATCTCATAACTCAACTAAACCTTTGAATACAAATGTGAAATTTGGCACAATGTTACAGCTATAAGTGTAGAATACAACCAAATAGTCATAAACAACATCAGCTGTTTTGTTAACTCTCTAGCGCCCCTCAAAGGTCCCATGCACTGCAAAAGCATGAAAAATATTTTGGATATAGGTAAAATTGTCATAAAATTCCCCAAAATACAACTCTTAGCCTTTTACGATGTAATAGATTCTGATATTTATGAACTGAAACTATCTCAACATAAATTAAGTCTATGGGGCCCCCTTTTGAAGTAGCCGACTATAATATCTGAATGTTCAAATTGTGTAAGAGAAAGAAGATAAAGCTATAAACTTATGAATGCCAGACTATCTACAGACATATTTAAACTAAGTCAAGGAGGTCGTGGTTCTGTAATATTGCCATGAACACATCTAAACTGCCCAATGAAAACGTGTGAGTTGGAATTTTCTCTTTTTTTGCTTCAACCAAGACTTGAAAGTTGATTTCAAGACTGATTACAAAATCTTTGAGTTACTGCTCTTTCCAACATCCATATAATCCAAACATACACTAATTCAAATGAATAATAGAAAAGAACTGGTCTTAGTCTAATCTCTCACCTTTGGCCTTCCTGTTATGGTTGGACCTCACAGGGATTGGTACAGCCCCTATCAGTATAGCTCAAATGATCACTGAGACACTCAAGCTACCCCACCTCAACAAGGTGCCTGCTCTGTATTGGGGTAGGTATGGGTAGGTAAGGTAAAGGGATAGTTTGTTAAAGTTTGGGGGTGAGGGGGTGGTTTTTTTGTAGTTTTTTTTTACATGCAGTCCCTCTTATTATACAGTGTGTTGACAGTGTGTAGAAAAATCATGAGGTGTTATCTCAAACACATGACTGGCAAAAGTTGTAAGCATGTGTTTGCATGTCACTGTCAGTACTCCGGCCCCCTAGCTGTTGTTTTGGTGTTCTCCCTGTCTGTCAATGTGGTCCATGTGCCTTTGTTTACTGTTTTCCTTGTGTTCCAGCCCTGCCCCGCTCTCTACCCTGTCCCCGCCCACCTGATTACCTGATCTCCTCCACCTGCCTGCCTGCCCACCTGCATCCCATCTCCTCATCACCCCAGCCCTATATCTACCCTGCTTGTCTCTGTCTTGTTTCCAGTTCATTGCAGTATTGCTTTGGTGTTTGGGCACATCTTTTTCTTGCCTGAATCACCAGCAATGCTGATGTTACATTATGTGGAATGCGCTCCCTCTGTGCCATGACAGGTGCCACAAGATCTTTCCCTAACTGTTCAAGGAAAAGTCTATGCTTGTACAAGGTCAGCATCTGTGCTGCTAATAGTTGAGCATGTGTAAAATGTCAAGTCAATCATTAGAGCTCAGGGGGCATCAGTGGTTTTGATACAGTATGGAAAAACATGGAAATTGTGTACTGCTAGCATGCTAAACTAGCATGCATGCTAATATCTTTGAAATGGGCCTAGTACCAGGTATTTATGAGTATGAGGAAATATTTGATGAGTTTGTGGCACTCTGAGTTAGACAGAGCTGCTCATAAAGATCAAAAGTTATCTCGGGTCATACTGACCCTAAGACAATAGGCGTTACTTTTTTGTGGCAGCTACACTGAACATGTTTTTTTTTTTTTTTAAATCCCCAAATTTCCATTTTTGGGGTCATTTTAGGAAGGTACATAGGAGGCCATGTACTTAGATTAATGATTTATATCATTTTCTTAGGTTTGAATATGATTTCGGGTCATTATGACCCCAGGACAATAAGAGGGTTAAATGGACACATTTGTTAGTCATGCTAAACAACAATAACAAAGTTTGAGGGTAGGTTTCTAGACTCTTTTAAGCTCACAAGCCTCCACCTGAATGCACACATTCTTTCAACTGTAGAATCACAATATAAATATTATTTAAAACAAAAACTGCAAAATGCATACTATAATTCACAATCAATGCACACACAGTCTCACAACATGATCTGTAAAGAAGTCCTGACATTCTGTATTTACGTCTATAATTTTGTGTTTGCGTTCATCTTTTTTTATTCTTAGCCTGAAGCCAAATGCAGCAAACAGTATCAAACATCAACGGAATGGAATGTATCCACTATCATTTACCTGTTATTACTGCAATCATTCAGAAAAGCCCTCAAGCTACTGTACTGGCTTACCACAGGCCAGACATGTAAAATTTAGCTTGGCATCAAAGCATGATCACTTCTCATATTTTTCTTCTTTATTTGTCAGCGATGTCCTGAGTTGGTGTATACCCTCAGGAGTCATAGCTGACAAGGCCCTGGTGTTGTGTTCCAAACACCTGAACCACAGCGGTTGTCCAGCCGTCACATGACACAGGCACACTGTCAGGAGGGTGGAGCACACAAAGGCCAGGAAATTATAGTGTGGTAAAAGGTGACTAATTAAGGACAACACTCAGACATTTTGTTAAAATGAATCCCAGGGATGGAATGTAGGATCAAAATGAGGACAACATTGGGCTTTACAGGGCTTCCCCCCCGCACACTCCCGAACCCCCAACCCCACCCCCTTCTTGCGTGTCGGTTCACCGCCTTTAATCGGTATGCACAGTTATTCTCTGTGATGCAGTACCAACATTGCCAGACCACCTTAAAAGCTCCTTAATTGGACCACCTTAAAGGCCCCACTCCTTACAGCGGCTGTTCTGTTGGGGGTGGAGCTCCATTGCTCCGTAGCTCAGAGTAGGAGGGATTGTCAGAGAAGAGATCCCCAGCAGTAGCCACACTCTCATTTCACACAGGCCTGCTGCCACAGCGACAGTGCTCACCTCCCTTTACCTCAGTCCCACAGCATGCGGGGACTGGAGTACAAATGCACAGTCTGTTCCATAGCGTGCCACAGCTATTCGTGATAACAAATGGGACTGCATTTCAGTTACACTGTATAAGAGAAGCTGCAGAGGTTCAACAATAGCAGGGAGACTAGCAATGCAGCTTTTTACATTCTACGGAAACACTTTGGAGACTATGCAACAGATATCCTTACATTTTCCACTTACACAAAATAATTTTTTTCACTGTTTATTATATAAACTGCCCAAAATCTTTCCATTCTCTTAGGATATTACACTTAAAGGTTTAACCTGTGCTCACAATTACACATCTACATTCAATTCAGATGCAGCGATCAGAGCACTGTAAATAAAACAGGACAATGTCAGTGAACCTCACATCAAAGACCCAATTTCCACCCAATTTCCAAGTCATTTAACCCGTTTTAAATTTAAGTTATTTAATTTATGTAACTGGTTGTGAGGTTTCAATTGATGGATATCAAGAAGTAGCCCAAGAAACCAAGAAACTGATGGTATCATTGGCTGGATGGCTTTGATTTTTTTTTTTTTTTGCTCGCCGATGCACCAAAAAATTTACGTTACATTATAATACATAACATTACATGTATTTAGCAGATGCTCTTTTCCAGAGTGACTTCCAGGACCAGAGAACAGAAGTGTATCCATCCCAGCTATATGAGCAATTAAAAAAAAAACTTTTAAGAAAATTTGCTTTTGTACACAGCCAATATTTCTTTTTTTTGGGGGGGTATTCTCTGTTTGTACAGGTGCCTGTGTTTTCTTCATCATCTGCAACAGCAGAGGAAATGCCAGCCCACAGATGACAGCACACAGAGAAGGAAAAAAAAAGAATTGCCCATCACTTTTCTCACACAATGGATAAGGACACTCCACTTCTAAGGGCTCTTTGAAATCCCAACAACAGAAACACATTACCATGAGAGTGTGAGTGTGAGGAGGGGGTCAATACAGGACCAAAAACAGAGCAGAGGGCAGCAGTGTAGTGAAGTGGTAAGTAGCAGGGCTCATAACCCAGAGGTTGCCGGTTCAATTCACTGCAGTTACACAGCTATTGTACCCTTGGCCAAGATACTTAACCCAGAATCGCTTCAGCAAATATCCAGCTGTATGAGTAGATAATATGCAAGAATTGTAACCTATGTAAATTATTCTAGATAAGAGCGTCTGCTAAGCTCTTGTAAATTTAACTTAACGTAATTGAAATGAGAGTAGAAAGTGATGTGTAGACAAACCTGTGTACAGCCAATATTGAAGCAGCAATAGAGTACATCTTCTTTGACAGTTGTGAGCTGGCTCTAACCAGACTGGGGCCTCAGAGATATCTGGAAAGGCTCAAGTCATGGTTCTGAAGTGTTCTGTTTCATTCAAGGTCTGGCAGGTGTCATAACTGCATGATCCATTTCTTTGTCCAGTGCACTAATACATGCTGATTCAACATGCTCACAATATCATCCCTTGCACATTCTGTGCCTTTGTTTGATTTTTATAAAAAACAAGACAAGATGGTGTCACAGCTGAGGTTTGACCCTATGACCTTCAGACACCATGCTCCACTAGACAACATGGTGTCACAGCTGAGGTTTGACCCTATGACCTTCAGACACCATGCTCCACTAGGCCTAAAGACACAGAAGCCTTGAGGTGGAGAGGAGCTTTACCCAGCCCAAATATCGGCATCATATGATCACAGACCACTCTTAAAGATGCTCTGATGAAAATGACAGCAGTCTTATAATAATTTTGTGCTGTGTCGCATCTGAATCCCAGCCCTGATTGCTCATGATGGGATTTGATTCTTCCCGGGAGGCTGGTGCACAGAGCCAGAGAGCTGAATGAAAGGGCTAATCTCTGGAGGAAATTACAGGCCGGGAAACCATTAAAACTCTTTGCCGCTGTTTGGTGGTGAGGCCGGATGCACGGTGTGCAACAACACATTTGACAACAAAGCACCAAGCACTTTGCTTAAATCAATCTATGGAGTATTTCAGAGATGTGGCAAGCGAGTTTGCTTTGGGCTGACTCCCACCTCAGATGAGTGGTGGTTGAGATGAAGCCCCCTGGCCCTGGCTTAGGTGTGTTCCCTGCTTGGCACCCTTGTGTAATCAGAGGAGACATTGACAGCAATGTGTTTAAAGCTTCTGAAATAACACGTTTGCTAACAGGGATGAATCAGTGGGCTGAGGAGGGCAGCATGGGTGAATGGCTGCTGAAGCTAATGCCGCTGATCAGACTGTGGGGGGCATGGGGAACTGTTACTTGTACAATTCACCCCCCCATTACTCCACACTCTACTGCTACATCACTCCACACACTCTCCCCTGCAACTACATACTTCCCCACATTCTCCCCTGCACTGTCCTAACACTCCTCCATACTCCACTACTACTATATCACTCCATAAACCCACTACTACTACACATCTTTACAGACTCAATTGCAACTAGGGCTATGCGATATGACCAAAATCTCATATCCCGATATAGGTCATTTCATATCCCGATAACGATACATATCACAATATAGCACATTTTCTGTAAATTCAATGAATAAAGTTTATATAAAATGACCACATGGAAAGGCCTATTTCTTATTACATTTTGAATTATATACTCAACAAATAAAAGGTACTTACTCATAATTGATTATTTTTCTCCTTTTATTCAGAACCTTTGTGCAAATTTTCAATTAACCCTTTCACGGGTACGGTCACATCCGTGTCATTAGCCGTTTAGCGCATATGTTATAACCGGTGCGATTAAAACATTACATTGGAAAAATTTTAGCTTTGAGGAAACAGTGATTTAATGTTAAAAAAATATAGCAAATGCTAACTGAAAACTATGAGATGCTTAATAACGCTAATGAAAACATAAGGAACCATGTAAAGTAACATGCGTGCTACATAGCATAAAAATAAGTTACGTGCGAAAGGGTTAAGCATGTAACAAAATATAAAATATTAATGTATAAAATATAAAAAGGTAAATAGAAAACACTTTTCAACTATAGTTCTGTATCACATTCACTCTCTTCCATGTTTGTTTGTGTTGCCTTCATGCAAATTTCCTGCCTGCATCCGGGCCGTGTGGAAGAACGCAAAGCATCATCCAAATGACGAAAAATATTGCCGTAAAGTGTGTGATTTGCGACACAACGAAATAAACGATAGAGCATAATATGAAACGAAAGACATTTTTCTATCGTCACATGATATATATCATCATATTGCACAGCCCCAACTGCAGCTATTACTAGTACATGTACATCACTCCACACACTACAGTGCTAATACATCACTCAACATTCTACACATATTACATGGCTCCATTTCTCCCTCGCACTTTCTAGCTTCTCTGAAATCCACTGAAAGTTGTCACTACCTCAGACTTCTACCAGTGAACTGCACAGACTGCTGAGCCTCTGGTGGAGCTACATGGGTTCACTAACACATACTGACTGACCTCCATGACTCAGGTCTAATGTTGTAGGAAGACTGTGGGTGCCTGCATCTCTCCTGAAGCGTGCACAGACTGAACCCCCTTTGCTTTGGCTTTCCACCTGGACCAATATGGGCCTCTGCATTTCAGATTATTCATGGGAGCATGACAGCAGAGCAGAGAGGCCCATCTGTGTGTAGCATGCATGTTTCAGAATCCACATGTTGAGTAGCCTGGTGGTGGACATGTGACCATTCTGGGAGACATGCTCAGTTAGAGAGTGAGCTGTGGGCTCGGTCTTCCAGGCTTCCTCTCACCAGCATTATAGCTGTGACAGTGTGGGAATCTTTGTGTCTGTGACATGGCTGACACATGTGGCTGGGAGAGTGTGAGCGTTTCCATCAGAGTGCATGTGTTTGTGACAGAGATGCTGTGTGTTTGTGTTTGTGTGTGTGTTTATGTTTGTGTGTCTGTGTGTCTGTATGTGTGTGGGTGTTTGTCTCAGTCCCATAAGGCAATCATTGCATCTTTCTTTTCTCTCACCCTCCTCTCTCTTTCACTCTCCCTCTTGGACTGAGGGGCACCCCTGAGAGGTGTCTGTGAGCCTCACCTGTGCTGCTTCCCAGCCCCACTGCCGGTACTTGGGGTCATGGGTGAATCTCCACATGTACCAGTACGTCTCGATGACCTCAGGCCGCAAGATGTAGTACTTCTCGTTCTGCCGGACTGCTATCGCTTCCAGGCCACTGTCAAACTTAAATGCCTCCGGGCCCAGCTTCAGCACTGCCGAGGAGCATACAGGAGAAAAGATCATTCAGAAGCAATATATCCTGGAGAGTTATGTTTTTATAAGCAGGGCCCTGTTCTTTCAGAGAAATGTTGCCATACAAGGCTATCTGAAAACAACAGGGATATTATGCAGCACTAAGTGTATTGCTAGGGATAAGATGTTTGTATTGGCTACACTGGGAAGGTGGAAGTGCAGCATCCTGTAATTAAATTGACCCTTTGTACTATGAGAGACTCAGTGACCCTGTGTGCTGTGGAAAACCCAGTGACCCCTAGTGCTGTGAAGTACAAGGCAGCCTTGGTTAACATGTCTTCATCAAAATGTGCATACCAGGCTGCCTTGCAGTCAACCTTGAAGGAAACATGAGGTAACCTTTCTGATTAACAATTTGCTAAGCTGTAATACTAACAGAAGCAAACTGTAGCATTCCCATAGCAACCTGACACTAAAGGAAGGATTGTGTAACATTCCAATAGCAACTCAAGACTGTGGGAAACAGTGTGGACCATTCCCATGGCAACCTGATGCTAAAACAGGATGTAGCCATTAAACACCAATTTTGATTAATACTGTGAATCCCAAGAAGTAAACATGTAATGCTGTTCAGCTCAATGAACGCATCGCACCATGAAATACTCCAAGGCTACAGACACATCTGCCACTGAGTGATCTGTTCTCAGTTCATTCAGTGATATTTTCTTTAAGCCAGCCCCTGACTCCTGTCCCACCTGTGCGGTCATAGGACTCATGGCAGGTGTGGGCAATCTCAGCACCCAGCTGCAGGTAGTGCCCAGCCTTGTCATTGGGTGAGCCATCGGCGCCCAGCGCGAACATGCCCCCAGCAAAACAGGTCAGATGGCCCATCTTCCTCTCCAGGTGGCCGGTTTTCCACTCCCCAATGAAGGTCAGCCCGCCACTTGACTTCCGGATGAGGTGGCGCTCTATGGCCTTCGGGGGGGGTTGGGGATTGGGGAGGGTAGACAGTGACAGCAAAGAAGATGAGGAACCAGAGAGGGGAACCACACTGTTGCTTCTACATGAAAAACTCCACCTCCCACGAAGGAACACGCAACCACAGGTACAGGACAGCAGTGAAGTTTGCTCCCTGTTCTGCACTTAAACAGAATTACTCTCCCTTCCTGTACCCATAATACAAAGACTCCATTTGCAGTCTCACTGGTTAGACAGTGCACCTATTGTAGGATTAACGTCTTGCTTTAGCCCTTTTTGGTTTGTCGGGGAAGTAAAGATTTAATAAAAATTCAATGGTCTGAACCCAGCGGTCTTAGGAATTAATGCCCTTGTTTATCGTCCGGCACTCTGAATACCGAACACAAATGACGCTAATTACTAAAACTCCTCACTTAACCAACATGTAAAATAATAATAAAAATGATTTAATTTAATAATTATTATCAAAGATATTAATTACCAATTAAATCTCCGAATTCGTTGATAGGAGATGAGCAGTCTGGTGGATCAACCTTTGCCAGAAATATAGAATCACGACTGGAATAAATTAAAAAGGTTTATTAAGCAGTTACACTAAGACAAGACAATATTCAAAGTCTGGGCTACAGACCTGGTCCACTACCTTAACAGACACTAAATTATATAAAGACATTAACAAAACAAGAACATGGATGGATCACAGAATGGGTGAATGAATGCGTGCCGGGAAAATTAGCCAAGCCAATTGTTTACCTCTCTCAAGGAAGAACACAGGAACCACTCACGATAGCAGCAAAACTCCAAAAGAAAAAAATGCAAGAGTTGCAGGATAAACTGCAGCTGGGCGTCTGAGGCAAAAACTGAGCAAA